ATAACACTGTTGGCATCATAAAGACAATCATTTGGAAAATCAGATGACTTTTTAAAATCTTTAGTGCATCCATTTCAGAGTCAAGCAGAGTCAACTCACAGGAAAATTTTCTGTCAATATGGCTATTCATTGACCATTCAGAAGGAGGAACGTACAATGATTTATCAGGTGTAAAGAAGCCTGAAAATGCATGTCATTAAGCCTACAAGATTTGGAGCTGTCCTACGACCCTGTTCCACAAGATAGATTCACTAGAGCCCCTTGATTACTAGCTTGCCACTCAGGGTGGTCAAGGGGTTTCATAGGCCTGAGTCCCAGTGCCTGTGCTCACCAAAGGCCTCATGGAAGCAACTTCCAGGGCCAAGTCAGGGAGGTCAGAACACCAGATATTATGATTCAAAGTGTACTTAGTGTAAGAAACAAACTACATCTGTGTACTCATGTCTCTGTGTGTAGTCATGCATATGCTGTGGTTGTGTTTTTTGTAGATCTAGGCTGGGTGACACTGTCACAAGGGAAAGGCTCTCCCTTGGCATGTTTACTGCAGTCAGGCTCCGCCCACAAAAGAAAAATGTTATCACCCTGCTCAGAGATGGTCAAACCTGAATGATTGCCTGATAGTGACTAAATTAGCAGGAGAATGACAAATAATGTATTCATTAACAATAAAGATTTCATTTTAGCAAATAAAAGAAGGTTCAAGAAAAAACAAGGCTTGTCACAAAATTGAGTTCCATAAAATTTGTTGTTTCTTTTAACTGGCCTACTGTCTCCCTGCTTTCACTTCATGACATCAAAAGGAATAGTGCATGGCAAAGGGAATTCCTGATGATTGTACTCATGATGATTTCCTCAGTGGATAGCTAATTGCCAGGCTGAGCTAATGCTTTAAGAGTACAGAGAGTTATTATGCAACTGTGGGCCTTTGTTCTTTGTAGCACCCAGAAAGCCAGGGAGAAGAACTTTCTATGAAGAGTCTCATGGGTAATGCTTGTTTTAGGAATCTTAGGAAGAAATCTTAGGAAGAAATCTGAGATAAATGTAACTTTACTTAAGCCTCTCTCATCTTTTTAGCCTTTCCATTCAAAATGCCACTTTTTGGATAGATGATATTGTAAATAGACAAAGAAATGAGGAAATTTCAGTGAAGTCATTTATTTTAAAAGAGGTAATTGAAAATTATCTTTACTTTAGTTGTGTATAGCAGCAGGTAATTGTTACATGCAATGTTAAGAGCCACCATATACTGAATACTGATGTGCAAGGCAGTGTGCTAAAGAATTTACATACATTGTATCTGAGCCTCACAACAACCTCAAGTAAGGAAAATGAGGTTTGGAGCAACTAAGTAAGCTGTCTCAGGTCACAGATTGAAGAGCAGCAGGGCCAGGATCGTGGCCTAAGGCTTTCCCACTTCAGAATGCATTTGCTATTACAGATCTACACTGGTTATTGATAGAGGTGTCATCCATCTGGGTAATATTAAGTTGTCATCAGATAATCAGTCATTACCTTTCTTGTCACAGAGCCTTCGTTCCAGGGAGAAAACTGGAGAATAAGGAACATGCATATAAGGCACTGCGTATACAGAGAAGGCTCCGAAGAGTGGATGCCCTTCTTGTAAGCTTCCAGGACAGTCCCCTGTGTGTCCTGCTCAGTTTTAATGTGTGTCTCAAGTAACTGGTACTAATAATAGATAAAACACGAGTGATTTGAGAATAATATACCTTACAAAATAGACTAGAATTGATTCAAAGTTACCCCTAGAGTAATGTCTCCCTAACTCATTTGCATTCCAGAACGCTTTCTTGAGTGGAACAAAGGGGTTGGAGAAATAGGTTAAACCTGGGGATTGCACAGACCCCGTGCTCCACCCCTACCATCTACCCCATAGGAAGGTGTGGCACATTACTTGTTGGGTTATGTGTGTACATTATCTCACGTGTTGCAATGGAAAAGGATTGAGATCCACTGCCAGGAGGTACTTAGTAAATGTGCAGTGAAGTAACGAATGAACAGACAGTGGATACCTCCCTTCCTTTCAGTTGGTATTCTTACAAGGAAACAGCTATAAGGAAGGAAATGAATTTAATCCTGTGTAAAAATATTAGCAAAATTTTGTTCTTATTGCTCAAAATTCTGTAAACTACTTTTAAGTATTATCTTATTTCACAACTTATTCTGAGTATAAATTAATGTAACAATATAAGCATTGCCAAGAGCATTAAAGCCTTCATTGTTGGGATAAAGTTCCATAATGAGGACCCAGAACTGCAGCCATTTGAGTAGATGCCATAAGATGAGTCTCCTTCTCTCTGAAAATGTCATCACTAGTGTTTGGAGATGAAGAAACTGAGAAGTCTAGACAAGAAGGCCCACATCTTTGAATTCAGCTATGCGCAGGCTCTTCAGATGATCCAGAGAGCCGGATCTTAGTCAGAGGACTTCACCTCACCAGTAAAAGCAAGAATCAGCGGCTCCACCAGCAGCATGAGAAATTCAGTGCTAATAAGGGCAGTATGGCGATAGTTAGCATGGGGCAGACTAGAAAAGGGTGTCCAGAGCTGGTTGTAACATGAGTGCCAGAGCAAAGCAGTTCCTTTTCCATCAAGATTGCTAGGATCCAGCCTTTCTAGAATTCTGGTCATATTCTAGGTCTGGGTTCTTTACATATCAGCAGAGGCATAGAACTGGAATGACAGCTTCTGGACTGTTGGCCCTAACCATTTCTACCACAGCATCTTACAGATCTCATAGTTTTAATGACTCTATGAACCACCTGAGTGAAAGACCAGAAAAATAAGTGTCCTATAAAAGTGAATAAGTTTGAGGTGGGAGGCAATTGTCAGTAAGTAGTTAAAGAAATTACATCATTACTGAAATAGTAATGGTAGCAATAGAGGGAAGTGGAGTAGGGGTGACGGAGAGTGGCGACTTGATGAGGCCACAGCAGTACGGAGGGTTGAAAGATTTGGGGGAGAAGTCAATGAGTTCCACTTTAGACATGTTTAGTTTTAGGAGTTCATTGGAGTCCAGGAGGCCCCCATGGCTAGACCAGTCTGGAGCTCCTGGGAAAAGGTGGGACCAAAGACAGACCCATCCCAATGAGGATGGCCCTGTAAACTGCAGAGGGGATGAGGTAGCCCAGGGACACCTCAATGAGAGGAGAGGGGCCCCAGACAGGGCTCTGAGGAATTACAACATTTAACCACAATGCAGAGCTAGAGGTACCCTCGCCCCCAAGGAGAAGGCAAAGTGCCCAGAGAAGCCAGGGTGTGAATGAGGAGGGTGATGTCACTGAGGTCAACAAGAGAGGAAGGTTCAGTGTTACTGGCAGGCCAAGTAAGAGGAGGGCCAAAAAGTGCCAAATGAATTTAGTAACAAGAATGTTGATGTGAATTTGGTGAAATATAAGATTGAGTGTGCACAAGTTTTAATCTCTTAGGCAGTTTTTCAAGTTTTGTCACTTTCTAGGGGAATAAAGCCATTGAGGATGGTTATTTTCATTTTCAGAAAATGTGCAACCCGCTACTTCTGGGTCACTTCCCTCTCACTTCATTTGATGGTTTTATTTCTGGCTGTTATGCTCCACACTGTGCTTTAATCTGCTGTTTTCACTGTTTCCTGGTGCCAGTTCTCTAGATGGAAGGTTAGAGCTGACAGAGCTGAGCTCCAGTCTGTAGGAAGAAAGAGAAGGTAGGGCAGAATTATTAGTCTTGGAAACAGCTGTGGATGAGTTTTTATGCTGTTTTCAGTATGAAAGTTGCTATAACAACCCAGAATTCTAGTGATTGTTTCACTTTGATCCTAGCGAAAACTCTAAAGTGCTGTGCAAGCTACCTTGGGCCCAGTAAAAGGTGTGGGTCAGCTACTTCATTAGGTTTGATTAGGTCTTCCACTTGTCGCCAGGCCAGAGCCGTAATGGTCCATTACATAATTTTATAGTTAAAGCTTAAGCCCAAACTTCCTCTTAACACTGTTCATATTTTTGCTGCTATGTTCATGATGTCCTGTGGGTATCTTAGGAACAGGTTGTATGTATTGGACAAATACCCTGTTTAGCAGCAGAGGGGATATTTGTATTAGAATACTGGCCTAAAAAAAGAGCAAGAGAGACTTCAGGATGTTTTACCTCGCAGATCTACTTATGTGCCCTTTAAGCTCTCACGAGGCTCAGTGATCACACAGGGTCATGTACAAATATTCCTGGGAATCCAAAAATACAGACATCTGCTCCCAACATAGTACTTATTATCTTGATTATAATAACAGGCCTTTTGCTAATAGTCCAAAGGACCTGTGCTAGTAGCCAACAATTTAGGTTAAAAAGAGATAACAAATTGAAGTGTTTCATAAACAAATTTATGGTGTTAAAAATGATCCTTAATAATGCCTACTGTTTGGTTCCATCTGCCTTGGGGATATATGGACTGAAGAATAAATTGACAAGAAGATGCTCGAAGGGCATTCAGGCTTTGGAAACTCAGTTTTCAGTTTGAAAGCCAACCAGTGTAGCTGGGCAGTGATTTTCTTCTTCTTCTTCTGCTGCTGCTGCTGCTTAACTCGAAGCCAAATCACAAAAAGGCCTTGACTGATACTTGGCCAGGTGCGGTAATCCACATTTGCATGGGGTAGGCCCTGGTATAAGAGCTTAATTCATCCAGACCCTACCCAAATCTAGGTAGTGATTGAATATGGTTTGATGACATTTGGAATGTATTTCAAACACAAAAGTGTATAGTTTAAATGATATTTACTTCAAATCTATTTCAAATCTGGTAGAAACCTAAAATTTTTAACTTTTTAGTCACAATTATCCTTTTAGATGTTTGATATATATATGAACAATTCTTCATTAGTCCCTGTTTTAAACAGATTTGCTACTGTCAAGGAGAAATATGGTTCCCTGATTTTAGGTGCTGCTGTATGAAACTAATGATTTTCTTGCAATCTCTCCCCCACCTCCACCCCACCAACCCATCCCACCATACCACCACCAGGAAGGGCGCCTGTGGCCTTCAGACAGCTCTGGTTCTCGGCCAGGTGCCTCAGAGGTAAGGAGTTGGACAAGGGAGGGGTGTGGGTGGCAGGAGGAAGTTGCTGAACCCCATGTGCATGGGAGAAAGAATGAGAGAAATAAACCATTGCAACAAAATTGATGTAAAGGTTAAATGTATTACAGCATAGGTTAAGAAATAACACATTTAAATTAAGGGATATACTTATAACTTTGGTTTAAAAAACAGGAAAGGGGGTTTTCCCCTACAATCTCCTAGAAATTATTTGTGCTAGTCTAAAGCTCTTTACAGAAAACAGGTTGAGAATCACCGATCTTAACATGATCCCATAGCTGCTAATAATGAGGGGTGGCAGATGTGGGCACCGTTTATAAATATAGCATGATTCATTTCCACATCTTCAAGTTTAATAATACGACTTTAAAAATAGCAGTTTTTTACCTTAAAGTTAAAAATATATTGGAAAAGTCAATGGATGTGTGTGTGTGTGTGTGTGTGTGTGTGTGTGTATAATCTTTCCTCTAGAAGAATGGATGGTGGAATAGATGAGAGGATTATGTAAGAATTCACTTTGGGAAAAAATCTATAATCATATTTACTTTGGAATACAAAACATTTTTTACATCAGTTACTAAAAATAACTACAAGAAACTTTTATCTAGAAAAAAATTACTGGAAAAGTTTAGAAATCAGGAAGAAAAAGAAGTCACTTATTCTCTATTTTTCTAAGTAATTGACAGGAAACTAAGCTTTTATAAATAATTTATAATTTGACCCAGTGCCTACCTGTTCTAAGTACCATCATGTGAAATTATAATTTACATTTACAATGAAAACTCTGAGCCACTCCTCGTCCCTCTGAATCATAGATATGAGAGCTAGAAGGCACAGAGAAAGCAGGTGGGCCAGTCCACTTACTTTATAGGTAAAGGAGTTGAGGCCTGGACCAGGTGGTGGACAGGACTAGAGGGCTGTCTACACAGCCCTTTTCCCCTGTGTTACTATTTACTGCACTCGAGAAGTTACTATTTTATTCTATGTGAAACAGTGGAGAATGCATACATACCATATGCAATCACTACCATTAAACCCAAAATTTTAATTAACCACAATTCTCCACTATTGAACCATCTTGGATAAACTATAGTTTGGTAAAGTGAGTCGTCTAAGTCATGAGGAATAAGAAAACTACATTTCCACCCTCCCCCGTCCCCAATAGTCTTTTCTTGTTTTGTTAGCGGAAAAGGTTTTCAGATGGGTGAGAACACAAACTAAGCACGAATTTTCTTGATATCATCGTGGTTGTGATCATTATTGTGCCAAGAATGTTTTCAAGCTTTTCCTCTTTTCCTTGCAGATCATGTATGCCCCACGCTCTAGGGACAGGTTTACTGCTCCGTCCTTTATCCAGAGGGATCGGTTCAGCCGCTTCCAGCCCACCTACCCCTACGTGCAGCACGAGATCGACCTTCCCCCCACCATCTCCCTGTCTGATGGGGAAGAGCCGCCCCCTTACCAGGGACCCTGTACGCTGCAGCTCAGGGACCCTGAACAGCAGATGGAACTCAACCGAGAGTCTGTAAGGGCCCCGCCCAACCGGACCATATTCGACAGCGATCTGATAGACATCTCAGTTTATAATGGGGGCCCGTGCCCACCCAGCAGCAATTCGGGCATAAGTGCCAGCACTTGCAGCAGTAATGGGAGAATGGAGGGGCCACCCCCGACGTACAGCGAGGTGATGGGCCACTACCCAGGAGCCTCTTTCTTCCATCACCAGCACAGCAACGGGCACAGAGGGAGCAGACTGCCTACAACTCCGGGAGCACAGACAGGAAGCCTGGGAACCTTGTCTGACCCTCCAACATGCACTTGAGTTGAAAAAGAAACTGATGACAGAAGGAGGCTGCATTGCCCCTCCGCTCCTGAGCACAGTGTTGTTCAGTTTTATGTGCTACAACTAAGTAAAACCAAATGTGCAAATGTGGTCTTTGTTTCTGATTCCTTTCAGGGGAATTGCATGCAAACTAGACGAGATAATGCAACTTCCGCCCGGTCTGACCCGTCTGACCGTAAACAGTGTTTATTTGGGGGCAGGTGTAGGGA